TTTTGGCCGATTCTGAAAGGTTTATTTTACAGTGGATGGATTTTGACGGCTGATTCAGATAGAGCATGAAAAACTGGTCAAAACGAATGTAAAAAATTCGTATATAGCGCAAGTCTTTATGGCAAAAGAATGTCATTTTTAAAAGCATAGTGTAGGAATCGGTGCATCCCTACTAATTAGACATTTTGATCAAACTTGCAAGTTCCTATAATTATGAATATTTATTTATTCTCTTGCTTTTATTTCTTGACAACATCTGAAGTCACGTCAATTCTACTCGCAATTGGCCGACAAAAAGACATTGGGATTTTTTCTACTCTTTTTACTCTCATAAGAAAAACTCTTTCTAAAGTTATCATATATTGTAATAGAGCGTCGAATTCTCCCTTATCATATTACGTTATAATATATCTATACATTATCTTTATTCAGCTGGACAATACGAGTACTTCGTCGACACATATGTGTTAGAATTCTAAATGCTCAGATATTTCAATTCTGTCTTCGTTTTTATTTTTAAGTCGTAGATAATAGAAGATGATGAAGACTTTAAAAGTTTATTAGTAGATGCAATTACATTTTAAAAATAAATGTCCTCAAAATAATCAACTTGAACTGACAAAGAATCTGATTACGTAAAATAACAGTTTGCCGTTGTTTTGTCGTACATGCGGTCCCGTTGCATTTACGCTATTCATCAAAAGATAAATGTTAATTGCAAAAGAAATTTATGGAGTAATAGAGAATTCCAGTGTCAAGATGATATGGTTAACAATATTGATATATTCAATTTGTTTAACAAAGATAATTGAAAAACAGGTCGATATATTTTAAAGTTTGATTTTGCCAATTGAACATACATTTGCTGTCGTCAAATTAATATGCTAATATTCTACCAAATTTTGAAAAAAGAATAGAAAGATAATTTATTATTGAAGACTGAACGAATTTTGAGAAATTATAAGATGTTGCAATTGTTTCCGTTCTGGAAAAACAAATTATGTTTCGATAGATTTATTTTCTGGCAACGTTCATCTTGCTTAAATGTTAATTAGTTTTTTCTAGACAATCCTATAAGCAGCTAAGGAATTATTATAAATAGTTAACTGCAAACCACTGATCTATTTGTATTACATCCGAATAAAAATCGTATTTCTAAATGAATTTTTCTCTGACGACCGATTGCATTTGATGGGTTTATTACATAAGCCATACTGTTGACAATAGAATCTATGACTGAGATAAGGATAAAACATTGTGTGAAATCATTCTAAATATTATTCATAATAGATTTACAATTGTTCGATAAAATTATTTGTGTGACTAACGTTTCTCTTGACAACGATCATTTATTTCTCAATAGAAAAACAAAACACCATCTACATAACATACAACAATAAAATTATTTTATTTCTATCGTAAAAAGTGACTATATAATAATAATAAATCAAATATACACGGATGACTTTTATATTGCATTCGTCGGATTGCAAAATATCGAATGAATATCTGCATCCATTGTTTGACACATTTGACTACAATACCTAAATGTGAATAGACACATAAAAAAAATCGAATCTAGTCTCTTTATTTCTTACTTTATTTTCTTGCATTTAAGACAAATAAACTGTTCTTCACACGAATTCATTAGTAATTGTGTGCATGGTGCATTATGACATTCATATAGACTAGATTGATTTAATATTGTATTATGATAATTGACTTCATCCATATCCACTGGTAAATAGGAAATAATTCGCCAATAAAAACTTGATAATCCACAAGATTTCAATGGCAAATAAGACATATTGTTCGATATTAACAATAAATTTTCTAAACGATTATCCATTGTAATACCATTTCGATGATAAATTGAATAGTTTTCAGGTATGAGGTATCGATTAAAATATTCCCTATAAAATTTTAAAAAATATATGATAAAACAAAAGGTTTATTTTATATTTTTTACCAAATTAAATCATGTAATGGAATATGCTGTAATCCATCGCTTGCAATTACAATCAATTGCTTATTATCATAGGTAATCTATATTTCAGAAGAAAATTCTAATAAATTTTATCTTTTTTTTGGCAAAAAGAAACTGTTACTTTTAGCTTAAAAATTTTGACTAGAGGAATAAAATATGTATCTATTATACAATATTTAATCTAAATCGGCGGAGGCAAAAAAACATCACAATTAGATTTTTTATTAAATAATATATTTTTAATCCTACTTTGCCTGCGAATGATCCTAGTTTGATAATACTTGGAGTATTGTATTTAATTTCATCCATCCTATTTTTACATGCTAGTTTTGTTACTTATTCGCCGACAGATGTTTTGTTATGTTTGCTTGGCACCGTTTGGTTTAATCATCGAATGTGAGAACGAGAAAAAAGTCGCTCGTTGTAGATGATAGTAGAGGTCATTGCTTCTTCTTCGAGCATTGTTTTTTTTTCTCTATTCTGTTGAATATTAAAAAAAAATGAATACTGAGCGAAGGTCAAACAGATGTGCTTGAGGCTCGTATAAATAGCATGTATCTTTTTTTTCGAACTATTCGTTATGTTATAATATTCTGTTGTGTATATACATCTATCTAATGTAAATATAATCAATTTGAAGCTTTAGACTTTCAGAAATGACATTGAAAGAGAGCTAGAATCAGATAAAATAGTAGTATCATCAACGCGTCATTTATGGGTTACATGTAATATTCAAGTTTTCTTAATAGAAAATCTAATTTTGCTAGAAAGATACTTGTCAGACGAGTCGGCAATGCTGATGATTGTATAAAAAGAAGCTCAAGTAGATGCATTCGTGACCTGTTTCTTGAATGGTAAAAGCTAAAGAAATAAACTCAGACAATATTTGATATGCTGGAACGATTTATTATAATAATAAGATTTTGGTGAATAACCAAGAGTTGTAAAACTTGTTATTTAAATTCGTTGAAAATCCTTTTACAAATAAATGCATCTATGAAATAATTTATTCTCGACGACTTCTCTACTTTTTTTCATTCAGCGAAGAGCTCCAAAAATGTAGAAATAGCAGAGAACAACCTATTAAAAGAAAAATCATGAAGAACTCTGAAACATGTTAGTTTGCTTACATATGTTTTTTTCTATGCTACGAGTATGCTTGAAAGCTGTTTTTCATAACTCTCAAAATCTAATTTTGAGAACTTTACTTTTCTGTAGATCTTTTCCTAAATCTATTAATGAAACTGGAAACATTATCAAAGACACAGAGTCTCTGAATGTGAAGACGATCACGCAATTGTAGAAGGAGAATTTTGAGATGACACGCCAATTCTATTATAGCGACCAACCGTAGCACTAGTTTTTTTTTATCTGATTTAGAACTCGACAAAATTTTCATACGCTGTATTTCAATCATAAATACCAAAGGCACGGCCTTGAAATCGAAATTCCACGATAACTATTATCCATTTGCAATTAACAGAAGGGTTCGCATTTTTAGAATAATTCTTGCTAGCAGCTAGATAGAGGTCTACGTTTTTCATTGTTTGAAGGAGGAAATAGAAATGTTTCGGATTCTCAATACCAAATTTTTCTCAGAGCAACAAGACAAATGTTTTGGAAAAAAATTCACTCCTCTTTTAATTTGACATGAATAATACTACAGTTAATATTTCATTCAAAGTTTTATCACGAAGAAAAAAAATGAGATGCAAACAAAACTACATTCATATAACAAACACTGATATTTAACTGATGTTTTTTTCTTCTCATCAATACGGTGACAACATGAATATATTTTCAATGATATAGATCATCTATGCAAATATCTGTGGTTATTTCGAATTTTATGAACGAATTAATTTTTACCTATGAGATAAGTAGCAGGAATCGTAGAGTCATTAGCTGTGAGCGGGAAGAAGCGTTAAATCGCCTCAGACTTTTTGTTGCGCTACTGTCAGCAACAGATTTTGCATTGCGTGGGAACTAAATACATAAATCATCAACGCTACGCTTATAAACAGCATGTCTATTTTTTATCAGAAAATTTTATTCTTTCTGTCAAATACAATATTCTAGAAACGCTAATTAACAAGTTTTCTCAAAGAAAAATAATATACTATATGTGTCTCAATGGCTCTATTTGATTATTAGAAAGATACTCGTATATATCTATATTTTTAAAGAAAATATGCATTTGAATATATTCAAACATGTTTACGAAAAAAAATCAAAGTAGTCACGCTTGATTAAAGTATACGCGCGATTGGGCGGGTCACTAATGACAGATGCGATGAAAGAAATCAACGGTTCTGGTGCTCTTTCGGCTGGCTCATATTTATCGAAAACACGAGGAAAAACAAAATTGCAAATTTTGTTTTCTTTCTCTCATTTAAGTAAACTTGCATGTGGATAGGGCAAAATACATGATATTCACCTTTGCATGGTCGGTGCAATGATATAATATAAGTTGCATGTATAAAAAAAAAGGCCATGGTTGACGTACTGCATTTAATAAACGTCTGCTTTTACTATCATCATACGCGATAACAGTAGTAAAAATAAAGATAAAAAAATTTACCAATTGTATAAATTACCATTAGCAATCTACATGCAGTCACATTCGAGTATAACCCAAGATTCTGCTACTAGTGAACAAAAAAGTATAAATGAAAACAGTGCTGATTTTCAAGTGCCACCTCCATCATATACAAGTGTCATTTATAAACTAGAAAATTCTACAGACGAAAATGGTGAGAGCCTTTCAACGCAACCGCCAAGTTATGCTAACATCCAAAATCCATCTGTATTTTATATTAGCAACTATCCTGGGCCACCATTGGACGATGGTGTCGTACAAATAGTTACTTCTAATCCTGTTGCAGCTCATCAAACTGCCCCCATAGGCTTGGTTCTATCGAAAAAAATGAGAATCTACTTGAATATTAATGGTGTACTTATGATATGTTTTGGTATGATAATAGTTGGTCTACAAATAGGATTGATGTCAGCATATTCTATGGCCTATTACTATTATGGGTTTTGGGCTGGTGCTATTATCATTTTTATGGGAATGTATGGATTGGTATTAAATCGTCGTTCACGTCACATTGATATAAGGAAATATTTTCGTTCTCACCTATGGCAACCCATCTTTGTAGTTATTGTGTTTGGTGCCAGCCTGTTTATTGTATTAGCAGATCGATGTGATGACAAAATATCGAACATAGATGGTGTATGTCCTCATTCATACGAAACACTTAACACTTTATTAATAACTGTTATTGCATTAACATTTATACAATCAATTATAAATACAATAGTATCGACAGTTATTCAGAGACGATATTTTAGCCAGTAGGATTTTGTTTTAAGAAAAATATTATATTTTTTGTATGTATTTTATGACCTGATTAAAAATTTGAATACTAAATCTACGCGACAGTTGGCGATGTGTCATTCGTCAAATGTTATATTACTAGTTTTAGGAGAATATAATGTAGGAAAATAGTTACGAAATCATTTTAGTTTCCAATGAAATCATGTCAACGTGGAATTGCATTTTAATTTAGTAACAAAAATGTTTACACAAGTATTTATCTCACATAGGTTTAATTTTGGAATGAACAGGACTTTTGTTTTCGGTTGAAAACGCAACAAGGACAGATAATCAAATTTGTAATATTCCTATTGATCAAAACTAAAAAATTGAGAACTACTAATGATATCGAATTGATCGATTTCTTATCATAGTACGCTGGATAATGCACGAGTTCTTTTTTTTTTATCTTGCTCATAAAAATTAAAAAGAAGACGAATGATAATATAGATAGAGATTATGGTTTAATACTCAAGGATCTCATTGGTTATATGACTAATGAAAATGAAATTAATGCTACTCTGATGTTGAAAAACAAAAAAACGTTTTCACAGTCAGGATTTCTATTTTACTTGTTTAATCAACTATATGTTTGCCGTTGGAATTATTAGTTTTAGGATCTTCCGTTACTTTTTTGATAGCAAACTCGATAAAAAAAAACCTTTAAATAATTTATTTATTTACCCGTAAATTCTATCGTCGACCTTTTCAAGTACGTGTCTTTATAAGTTTTGATTCAACCTACGGTTTTGTAATCATACAAAATTATGGTAACATCAGATCATCTATTTTTGAATTACTATTCCATATTCATATGTTGTTCTAAATTATAAATAGAAGAATGTTCTTTTAGGATTCGAAGACCTGCAGGTGTTCTAAGTTAACGTCAAGTTTTTGAATAATTACGTTTAATTATGTCCCATATATAATAAGATCGCTGTGAGTTGTTTTCGTATTAGATATTTTACTTTAAACTATTAATGTGTGAGGGAGCATTTAAAACGATGACATCATGATTCGTGTTTCTTTTACTCCAACAATTTGAACAATTAAAAAATGCAAAAGAGAAAAATGACATATTTTTAAAGATGTTTTTGGCTCTTTTCATCATTGTGTAGAGAATATTAATGAGTTTTTTCTTTTTTCACTTCTTAGTTAATACTCTTTGCAAAATGCAAAAGACAATATTACTATGACGCTGAACTTGTTGTTCTTTCATTCTTTCTTTTATTTTTCTTTCTTTTATATAAAAGGTGGAGACATTCAACAGACTATGGCACTTCCTTTTTATTGTCGTTTAAGAAACATATAATTGCTAAGTGGTATACCATAACGCATACCTCACAAAGGGTCTGTTTCATTTCCGATCCGTAGTATCATTGCCTAAAAGGTTTTGAAGATTTCTAAATAGTTTTCTAGGCTTTGAGAAAGTTTGTAAAAAAAACCAATGAGATAAATCTAGTTACAAGAAGAGTATTAAAACAGTCTAGCACAAACACATACTAGAAAAATGATACTTCTTATTTTAGAAAATGAATAATTTAATAGTACATTTTTTAATGGTACGAACGAGTTCTAAGCCGATTAGTTCACACATTTCAAATGTGTTTTTGTCATTTTTCTCCCTTCTTTTGTTCAATATTATTTCATGTTTTTAAGTGCTCTTTTCTTTTATATGATAATCATTATTCTTTATGCTAGGTTCTCTTTTTTTACTATCTATGAACTAAACTTTCTTCATTTTGAGTTTATAATCCACGTTATTTTCTTCATTTTTAAGAGTTACCCGTCTCTAGATAAAAATGCCTGAAGAATCGTAAGTTCAATCATCGTATATTAATTTCATCATAAATATTTGTATCTATCAGAATCAAAGTCGCTGTTCGTCTACGTCCATTTAATCAAAGGTAAAAAATGAAATACTAAAATTTTCCAAGAAATTAACAATTTTTTTGCTTAAAATAAACAGAGAAAAAGATCGCAATGCAAAACTTATTATTAAAATGGAAGGAAAATCAACATTTATTACTGATCCAAAAGCACCATGTAAGTTTTCTAGTTTTAAGACAAAGAGATAAATATTTAAAAAAATTTCTTGCTCTAGACGATGAACCAAAACAAGTAAGTCTTTCGAGTAAAATTAATTAGAAGAGAAAAAAATTCTTTTTTTGGTCAATAGTTTTCATTCGATTATTCTTACTGGTAAGTAAAATAAAGGACTTAAGGAAAAGAAAGGAAGAAATATTTTTTTAGGTCACACGATGGTTTTGTTGAACTTCCTTCCGGAATTCTTGAAGCTGATAATTCATTATCGCCATATGCTTCACAACAAAAAGTTTTTGATGATCTTGGTCGTGATGTTTTAAAAAATGCTTTTGATGGTAAGAATAAACACTTAAATGAATTTGTCTTCGTTATCTCCCCACCCATAGGTTTCAATTGTTCATTATTTGCATATGGTCAAACAGGCTCGGGGAAAAGTTATTCCATGATTGGCTATGGTGTTAACCGGTACAGACGACATTGATTGTGGCTATTCTTTCAATAAATGTTTTTTGCTTTAGTGGAATTGTTCCTATTGTTTGTGATGAATTATTTCATGAAATACAAAATGCGAAGAGTCCATCGACTGTATGTATTATAATAAATAGAGAAAGAATCGTGATGTTGTTTCACTGAAATCAAAAATTAGAAACTCGCTTTTGAGACCATATAGAAATGTAACGGGAGACTTGATAATTATGGCAAAAAAAATGAAAAAAAAGAGAACATAGGCACCAATAGATAAGTGTACTTTTCTAGACATTCATTTTGCAATTCATGCTTTAATTGCTAATTGCAGTGTGTACATGACACGATGACATAAAGAGGCAAAAAAATCGTATAATATTCCTGCTTTCATTTATTCTTTTTATTCTATCTTTTATTTTTCAAAAATAAAACAAAGCCACATAGCATTTCTACACAAAAATCATTGGGTTAATTGGCAAAAAGCTTAGCGACTTGTTCCTTTTATTTAAATTAATTTTCCAATTTACAAAATAAAAGACGTTGCTACTTAGTTGTATCAGCTTGACATTTTTATATATTAAATCTAAATTCTTGAAAACTGTTATTATTTACGTATATTAGTCATGAGATTTCAAAAAAGTATGCGTAAGTAGAAATAATTGTTTCTCACGCATAATAAGCTAATTCAATCTGATCATCTTTCAAAATAATTATTTCTTAATGCTTTCCATATTTTTTCAGCGCTATGAAATCTGCCTCTCTATGATGGAAATTTACAATGAACAAGTTCGGGATCTATTGAATAAAGAGTTTCCGAAAGGCGGTAAATATTATAAATATTTAATAAATCGATCCGATCGTCGTTTTCTTTTGCCTCAGGTCTTGTTATTCATCAACATCCAACGTCCGGCCATTTCTATCCTCAAGGCCTTCGTATTGTACCTGTCGGCACTTATAATGACATTGAACGTCGTGTTACTGAAGGTACAGAAAATCGAACGATAGCCGCGACAAATATGAATGCAACAAGTAGCCGAGCACATACAGTCGTTACTATATATTTCGATCAGATTATAAAAGATGATCGTGGCGAAACGAAAAAAACAAGTGTTATCAATCTTGTTGATTTAGCTGGTAGGGAATTTTGGTTTTTTTTATGATAAAATCAAATGGCATCCGTTTATTTTTCTTGTATCTTTAATGTCGTTTAAGGATCTGAAAGATCTTCAAGTACAGGAGCAACCGGTGATAGATTGAAAGAAGGTACCAATATTAATAAATCCCTATCCACACTGGGCAATGTTATAGCGGCATTAGCTGAAATGTCATCAGGAACGAAACGAAAACTTGTTGTACCATATCGTGAATCTGTATTAACAAAATTGCTTCAAAATGCCCTCGGCGGAAATAGTAAAACAGTTATGATAGCTGCTTTATCACCAACTGATGTTAGCCATGATGAAACATTAAGTACACTGCGTTTTGCTGATCGTGTTAAACGTATTAAAAATACAGTTGTAGTTAATGAAAATCCCATTGAAAAATTAATTCGCGAATTAAAAGTATGTTTAGTGAAAAAGAAATTTGTTTTTGCTTAGATTCATGTTTGACGTTTTAAGGCAGAAAATGAACGTCTAAGATTACTGATCGATACTGGTAAATATAATTTACAATTAGATATTCTACCTAGTATGACAAATCAAGATATTGAAGCAATGAGAAAAAAAGTAGAAGAAGAAATTCTCTCACAAATACAAGTCAATCAACAAATGTTACAGAGCTCAAAAACATCCTGGGATTTGAAGGTAATTTAAATATCAAAAAGTATAATTCCACTGTCATTATTAAGAAATGAAAATCCTGACATTCAAATTTAATTAAACCCCTGCACAAAATAGAAGCCCACCCTCTGGGTTCGATTTCTCCGTTGAAAATCAAGGTTTACTTCATGAAAAATGAACTAAAACCGATGAAAAATGAAAGGATGAACATTTCTCTATCAAATAACGTAAAAGCTGGCATCAGAGCATGCTTTGTTACAAAATTATAGCTTGCGGAACAGAGACAACACCCATGAGCCCCTATTCTGTAGGGAGGTTCACTAAGAATTTTCCAAACATAGAGAACAGTGCAAACTTTTATGCTAGTAATGAATATTGCCAATGTTCTATTAGGATGCGCATATGACATAAGTAGCTTACTAGTTAGTACTATCTATCTCATTTTTATGTTTTTGACTACCGGACAATCGGGAGATTCGTATGCCTTAATCAAAGGACCGCTTTTGCTAAAAAAAAAGAGCATACGCTAGTTCTCTTGAAATGTAATTGATATTCGACGTTCAAACTTGATTGTAATTTTTGCTGAAGTCGCAGTTTGCTTATTTTCTGTGAAATTTCCTTAGCACTGCATAGTTCACATCAAATCATAAACATATATAGTAATATGCAATCCGTTGTCATTATTTACTCAAAATTATTTTAAATAGGAAAAAATTGATAACGTGCGATTGAATAATTACATTGAAATCAAATTCGGATGAGATTAAGGGTATGTTCGGTTGAATAATACTAATGAATAATTGTAATCTGTTGGAAATATTGGTGGCAAAAGTAAGCTATTTGAAGCATAGATTCTATTTCTAGACTAGAATAACGAGCAATATTTGCAAGAACAAAATGAGTTGCATTTAGTAAACCTTAAAGATTAATCGACATTTGACCGTCAGGAACGATTCAAGAAGTGATTGTTACTTCAATTTTTATTTTTAGTAAGATGATAAAACTTTTCAATCAAAATCAGTTGTTCTACGAAAAACACTTAGCTATAGGATGACATCAATAATGGAATTATTTACGACGCCCGTTTATATATTTCAGAGTTTAAATAGGCCATGTAGTATGACAAAGATCTAAAAGAAGATTATCAAGTCGAGACGATCAGTTAGAATGTCGATCAAAGGAACAATCTTTCAAATTAACATCGAAGATCCGTTTTTTTGTGGATGTTCACTATGATTACTCGACAAATTTTGTTTTTGATAACGAGAAACTGTAGTAAAAATACAAAATCAAATTCATGAAAACTTCGGGATGCGTTGTGTTGCCATATATTGAGGGCGTGAGAAAGAGGTATTTAATAAACAGAGTTTTTAACAACTCTAAATTTTCTGTGAGTTCTCATCGTGCAAAAGCAATGCTTTGTTTTTAATTAAAAGAGTTTCATAGGCTGCAGTCTAATTAACACTTTAAAAAAATTCTTTTATTCTGCGGAACAAACATAGGAAACTGTGTAGTGTCATGAAAAACTCTCGAAAAAAATGGCCATCCATTTATACAAATGCTTCTTTTCTTCAATAACAACAATAAAACTAAGTGAAAACGTCAAGTTCTATTAGACATACGCTACTGCAGCGTCATTTATCTTTTTAAAGCAAACAAAGAAAAAACAACAATTTGTTAAAAATTAATTTCTTTTTTTTTACAAAAAACTGCGCTGTTGTAAAAAAAACATCACAATGATAGCATCTGGATGTCAGGATTGGATAAAAAATAATAATTGACTTGTTTTGATGGAACTTTCAACACAACGAACATTTGCTGATATCAATAATCTATTCAGATAAAGCTATTGATGACTTCTATTCATCGTTTTCTTGCGCATGAATATAAATCATTTAAGTGTTCGAAGTGAATTGACATGATGAATGTCATAGCTTAATTTTCGTGCTTACTAAATAATACGTCAAATTTTGCCTTAATAATCCTGATAGGATAAAAATTATGCGCATCATTTTTTCCTGATAAACAATTAAATCCTTTTCGTATTTCTATCTAGCTTAAAAATGCTCAACTGAACGAAAAAAAATCGTCGCAGCAATCTGATAAAAAAGTGCCCTATCTTGCTAATCTCAATGAAGATCCAATGTTATCATATATTATTTTACATTATTTTAATACTGATACGATTACGATCGGTAGTCGAAATTCAACTATATGTCTTACTGGTTTAAATATTCTTGAAAAACATGCTACTATTCGAGCTATAGATTCCTGTAAATATGAATTGATAGCAGCTGAACCAGGTGCGAAAATCAAAGTTAATGGCTATAATTTAAATGGGTATATAAAAATAATGAATTCACTGATAATTGATATATTATTTGTTCGTGTATATTTTAGATCGGCACAACTACGACATAAAGATCGTATTTTATTCGGTGCCAATCATGTTTATGTCTATTTATGTCCGTCAAATGAAAAAGAAGCTTTACCTGATTTACCGTCAGTTATATCATGGGAATTTGCACAAAAAGAAATTGCAAAAGCAAAAGGGTATTCGTTAGGAAATAATCTAACTGTTGAACAAGAAGAGATTCAAGAGAAGATCTTAAGTTTATTACCACTATTATCCGAAGTCAATGCAATTAGTGAAGAACTGAATAAATATCGTACGTTTGAAATTGTTCTTATGCCCATATCATCATGGGAAGGTACGGCTGCGAAAGGATCGAAGTAAATATTAGAATTTTATTTTATTTTCGTTTTATTTATTTTATTTTAAGAGTACTGATTAAAATGAGAAATCTTCTAAATCAAAATGTTTGGTATTGGGATGATGCAAGATTTATTAATCGAAGTTATATTATTAAAGTAGAAATAAAAACAGACTTTTTCTTTTGTTCAAAACAAATTGCTGTTTGTTTCTCTTCTAGGAACATTATCAAAAATTTCTTGATGGGGACGAAGAAATATTGTACATGTCAAAAGATGATGATCCGTAAGATATAGAAGGCAAAATAAAATAGTAAAAAAATGTTTTCTTGTAATAGATTTTGGGAACCTGTAGAAGAAGTTTTACTTGGCACAGCTAATGTTTTTCTTCAAAGTTTAGCTTATTCACTTGATTTTTCCGATGAAATTTGTATTGTCGACTACAAAGTAAGCAATTGATAAGGAAAATGATGGATTAATTCTACTTCTAAATAGAGTTTTTCAATAGATAAAACGGTAGAGAATTAAAACTGTTCATTGGATCGATAGTTTTGAATTTCGACTTGTAATTTAACATAGACATAGAACTTTGCGAGAATACTACTTCGAATAATTTTAACGTATTTTCATTTGCGTTGATCTCAAAATAGAAATATCGAGTCTTTACCATCGAATGTAGCTGTATCTTAGAGTTGAAATATTTTTATATGTCAATTTCAAAGTCAATTTTTCTTGACAGGAGCTAAGGCAAAACAACTATAGTAAGAATATTGTCTCGTCCTCAATAAACAAAAAGTACCCCGCATTTAAAATTCATTTGATTCAGTGTGATATGCCTCCAGCCAACTCAAATGTAATTTAATAATTGGAGAACTTCCTATGTCCGATAAAAATTCTTTCAGAGTTATGCTGCTTTTTTATCTGCACAAATCTTAAGTAATTTCAATGATAAACATGCAAGCATTTAACAATTTTTTGGTTTGTCATTAAACCATCACTGTAGTTTGTATCGTGTATATCAAAAAAAAAGAACGCAAATCGTTTTGATTGTGAATTTAAAAGATTCAAAAGTTCATTTTGATCGATTTTGAAATTATTTTTGTTCTATACAAAGTATTATTGATTCATCTAACTCCAGAATATATATTATCTCAATTCAACACTGTCAATTTAAATATCTGCGCTCATTGGAACAATACCCTGGACGAAATTTGATATTGTAGCACTATGAAGAATATGTCGTTCAATCGTAAATCGAGTTCCTTAAATTGATCTTCTTGCTAAATATTTTTCCATTTATTTCTTGAATACAGCTCTCTCTCTCTCTCTCTGTGTCCTCTTGGATTCTAGGGTAGACGCATAATGCAATTAGAGAATGGCGATCATTTTCGAGGATGATACCTATAAATATTCGTAATAGAAATTAAACTATAAGTAGTAATATGAATTTATCCAAATATTAAGATTAATATTTCACATGAATATAATGGTCGATCGATTTCTAATTTTTCTTGATATAGCAATGGTTTCAGCAGAAAACCATATTGCAAAAATTTTTGCAAAGCAATGCGAAGATAATTTTCATCGAATTATATTTTTAAACTTTTTTCCAGGGCTCGGAGCAAGGTCGTTTAAGTATCAATCTTTCTCCGTGTTCATCAAGTGGTAAAGTACTCAATGATGAACAATTTATTGATCAACCCGAAGAACTTCTCAATCAGCCATTCAGTTTTAAGGTGGCATTTTCATATTTTTTCTATTTCACAAAACTATTGAAAACCATCTTCTAGATAACTATGCGTTATATTGAAATAAGTGATGAACGTCACAATAAGGGCATTCGAATACGTTATAAAATTTTTAATGAATCAGAATTTACTGAAACAAATGTTATTTGTCGTCACGCTGTATGTGCTAACGTAAAACAATCGCGTATTATCACAGTGCCAAGTATCGATGAAGTAAAGTATTATTTATGATATCGTTTATTCAAACTTGTAACTTTCGTTTCAATAGGATTGGTTAAATTTTTTTCAAAATAGTTCTGTTATATTTCAAATATTTGCTTTACAAGAAGAAAGCAAACCAAATACTGGTTTATTTAAAATGACTACTCGAGTAATGCAAATAAAAAACGATCAAATAGTTCGATGAAAGAAAATTTTTTTTATTTTAAGGATTTAAAAAGAATGGAACAAAAACAAGATAATACAAATTTAATACCAGTGGTTCAACCGAATTTTGCGTCTCCAAGCGATTCAAAATTAAAATCTGAATTGACACTTCTGCAGAAAAAATATAACCGTCTTGAGCAAAAAGAAAAACGAATTCAAGTAAAACAAGATTCTTAATAGATCTCACTTAGGATGTTTTTTTCTTCTAGCAATTATGTCATGAATGGGAAAATAATCATGATTTTCAAAAATTTTACAAATTACTTTCAGCCATTTCTTTTAGCTCAGGAACAAAGCTAAAAGCATCAACAACAGCTGTAAGTTAATTTCTAGTGCATGATCTATAGTATATTTCTTGACAAGATGGTATGCTTCAGCTTAAATTATATCACACTCTCTACTAATAGATATTGAGTGGTCACCAATTTACGAAAACTACGCATGCGGTATTTCTTATTTTATTTTCTTAGAACTAACTATCTGTGTATATATGTAGAAATTCACATATATAATAATTTTCGTGCACATTTTATTTTATTGCTGATACACATGCACATTAGAAAAATGAACATAGGAGAAATCATTTTTTGTATCATAGGCAAATAAAGACGCTAATGTTGATGTTTATTTATTTGGAATCGAAGAACAAGAATACGCCAAAGATATAGAACAATCAAATGCAGATAAACAAAAATATGTAAGTATTAAAAAAATACTGTTTATATTCTTTTTTTGTGTACTCAAAAAATGAGTACACTCTAGATTCGGTCAGTGTGTCCGGCCGTGTTAACACGATAACTTTTGAAAGCCTCATCTAATTGTCTTGACATTTTGTACACAGAATGATCTCATCAATATGTCAGTCGAGTTCGAAGATGAGAAGGATCCGTCAAGAAATGGCTGAGTTATCGAAAAAATTGTCATTATTCACCAGACCATCCCTGAGGGGGGGGGGGGGGATACGGGGAGGTTTTTTGTTTGATTTNTTTCTTTCTCAGAATTGTTCAAAACATATATAAATCGACTCCGTTTTTGCAGTACACGTAACAATCAGATGCGAATCCGATGTTTCCTCATTTATTTTCTTCTCCAGTTTCTAGAAGTCTTCTTTACAATTGACTATCGATTTACTCTCAGACGTTGATTATTGAAGAAGACTAATATCTAACAGCAACTTGTAGGACACTTGAAAATCAAGATTTTCTTGTTTGTATGAAATAACGAGAACTTTGTTATCTATCTTTAGTGGAACGAATATCATCGAAAAATCGCATTAAAGCAAAGACGTACTTCAGTATCATTTCGTTTGAGTCTAAAATTAGATTCTGCTAATACTTTACCGTTACCAAGTAATGACTGGAGTTCGCCTCCAGCAAATATTGATAGACCGAATCAAAATGGCCAAAAAATTCCAGATGATCGCCCACAACCACCTTTGCAAGTTAAGAGTTCTCCGCAAGCAAAAAAGAAACTAAATCAAGAATTTGCAAACGATAATAATGACCAATCAAATGAAAATAATCCTCCTATGATAAACTCAAAAGCAATTCTTAGCTGTAATGGCACGGGGAATGGGACAGAAAACGAAGCGTTCATCAACAAAAAAAATTCAACAATATGTATCATTCAATGAAAAGGCAATCGCTAAGAATCGCGCAAGTGTCATTGATGCATTGATTATATATACATATATTTGTTTTTTTAAATGATGCACTCTAAAGCACACTCTGCTTGTTCTTTTTCTACGGATACTCGTGCTTAGTCATATCAATTAGATGCCAAAATCCTTACGTTGATTTAATATATTTTTAGGAAGATTCCAACGATTCATTTGATGAAAATTATTTGCCGAAATAAACAACTGCATAATGACAATATCTGCATATACATTTATAAATTATTTTTTCTCGATTACGTTTATTCATATATATATATATATATATATTGATTGAGTTGTTGAATTTTATTTTTTTTTGAAAATACAAATAAATTGTACTAACTACACATTCATTAGATTTATTGTTAATGATAGTAGGAATTCATGTGTCTACTTCCGTCAAGTCTGACACGATTAGAGAGTGTGATGATGAGTATTGCTCAACTATACGAACACTGTACTTGATCGGAGGCAATTTCGAAAAAGTCACTGAAAGCAAAGCCTATTCTCATCTTCGACTCTGTATTACAACTTCATTGATTTTAGCACATCGTCAGGTTTCATTGACGAGTCGTAAAACGAAACAAGTAGCGATAAAAATAGGAATTAGATTGATGTCTTAAATTGTAGAATGTCTTTTGAATTTATAAATGAAGATAATTATTGTCCGCGATACGAATAGTATATAGCCAGACTCTTTTGCTGTTATCCTCATTGACTCGGATTGAAAACTTCATCGGAGGCATATTCGAAAATAATTAAAATAGAACCTTACATCTTTCCTGTGAGTCAAAGACGAGTGAAGAAGAGACCATTTTTGCATATCAGCGATATATTATTATTACTGACCTTCAAGTTGATCTTATTATTGTATGCCATTTTATGCAATAGTTTTGATTTGTGATTGAAATCAAACTAATAATATTATGTTTGAGAAAAATAATTGTCCTAATATATTGACTCCAATGTTTAAACAAAAGAAAAGCCATATAAACATGATTATTGGTTGTTTAAGAGAAAAGGCAGGCATACGCACTCAGAGTCTTTAACATAGAATGACAAGGTCACTGTTTTCTTTTATTTTCTCGTATAAAAGATTATCTGTCAATGTAAAAGTACCCAAACATATAAATAATCTTCGAGTTATTTGCTGTATTATCATTACGAACGTATATTTCCAACTGTGGTAAATTAGTGAAAGTACTCAATATCTTAATATAATACTTTTTTCTAGTAAACATTTGCATAATAATAAATTCGGCTTCTTTCTGATAGTTACTATTCACTCTAGTAGGATACAAATAGCGAGAACATGTATATGTGTAAGTATCTTATTTAGTTGATCTGCTTATAACGTACAAGTATCTATTTTTTGTGTGTTTATGACGGTATCTTGCGATATGTTGAGAGACGAATGCTACTAAGATTATTTATCTTCGACAAGATTTAGCTGCGATCGTTGCTTTTGCTGTTGTTGCCATTCTCAAGTTTTCTATGACATGACTTTCAAAAGCAAAAAAACATACAAAGTAACGCGCCGACGTAGCCGAGTATTACTTGGAATATTGAAGAGACATAAACTACAGATGGGCGTAGGCAGACAACAAAGCGTTTCATCGTTCTATCATCTCGCTATCATTATATTATATTCTGGCGCGTTCTGAGAACGGCTTTCGGTTTTCCTAAGAGAGGCCATATGTGTTCTATGATATAGAACGCAAGAATAGAGAGAATTTATTGAAGGATATTTGATGCCTATGAAGGGAAAAAACAAGCTGCTACAACCGATGTCGTTATTATTTTCATTAGTTACAAAGTTATCCCGTTAGGCAAGTTTGCTGTTTAGATGAGAAAATATGTTGGTATCGTCGTCAATCAGGAGAAAAGGAAAGTTCAAGAACAAATACAGAGAATAGTCGGATTTTCTGTTCTGCAAAATACAATACTACGAAAAAAAAGGACAGAGAGAGACAACGAGAGGCTGGAAAAGAAGGACGTTTCACAGTTATCTGGATTCTTTGTATTCTTGAAAAGATTCTTGACTAAAGACAGCGGATAATGGAGGGAACAAAAGCGATCAACGTTACACTTCAACGTGATAGTTTGCACACTCCATGGGGTTTTCGGTTACAAGGAGGTGCCGATTTTTGTATGCCCTTTGCTATTAATAAAGTATGTCGAAATTTTCTAAACGTTTTTTCAGTATTTGGTATCAACGTAATGCAAATGTTTATTTAGATAACTGCTGGTAGTCCTGCTGATGGTGCTCTTCATCGTGGTGATGTTATTCATGAAATCGATAATAGACCAATCAGTGGAATGCAACATGCTGAAGCTCTTGCAATCGTACAGCGGGCTGGTGGTCAAGTATCATTTCTCGTACAAAGGTTTAATTGAATAATAAATAACAAGAAGAAAAACATTTTATCTATGACTAATTCTTCCTGTTTTTTTTTGCTTCTTTTAGAGGATTAACTCCTCTTGCATCGATTATGTATCAACAGCGTCCAACGTCAGCGATGCCGTGGTCTTTAACTAATGCCACTTCATATTTAGAAAAGAATTTCAATCAATATTGGCCTTCGTCAGAAGCAACAGCAACTGGATTTAATCCTCCACCTGCTCCTACGGTAATTTAAACGACAGTAAAAAATAAAATAAACTTCTATATTTCAATGAGATAAAATTTTATTTCAGACACTTTACCGAAGTCGAGCATTGGAGAGAATAGCCGATCCTAAGCCGTTACTTAGTCAAACAGGGAGTCCTCTTATGCCTGGTCCAGTTCCGTCAGTATCAACTAAAACGCGTGGTTATACGCAACCGCCGATTTTTCATACGGAACGAATTAACGGATCTAATGCATCACCAGCGGATTTCTCATATTCATCTGCTCGCTATAATAACTACAGTTCACCAGCACAAAATTCATCAAATCATGAATCTAATGCTTATTTGCCTTCTTATCAAAAGAAGGTTGCAGCTTATCCAATTGTTCAAAAAAGAAACATAAATGATGCACAACGTCAACGTAATCATCAGCAATATGTAACAATGACAAGACAACCACAACAACAACATCAACAACAACAACAACGACAACCTTATCGACCATCATCAGTACAGCCAGGCGGTCTTGTCAATCGTCAATACAATTCACCTATGTCACTTTATTCGAATGATAATGTTCAAGAAGTGATGAAAAATCATGTTAATCATGTAACTCGTGTCAGGTAAATGCAAATATAAAACAAAATCATATAGCTACATAGTAAATCTATATTCTGGATTTATAATTTATGATCTTCTTCCCGCTATATAAATCAGCGCTTGCAACCTTGTAATCAAGTTTTAATACAAGGTTCTATGTAATGTCTACAAACATTGAAGATATACACACCCTTAAGATAATAAGATCTACTATTGTTTCGAATAGCCTTACTTTTCTTTTGTTCTACTCATACGTAAAAACAATTCCACTTGGTTTAGTTTTTCTATACTCGAATCGCTTTTTTTTTATTAAATGAATAAATCAAAAAGAACCGAAATCAAACATTTTTTTAAAAATATTTCATTTGATTTTAGCATCATACCATCGACGCCTAATGTGCCACGTGTTAACTATGCAGTTGCAGTTACACCATCACATAATACACATACAACAGCAAATGCGCCTGTTTGCTATGTACAATCAAGACCAAATGTGTATGCATCAGATTTCTAATATAATCTATGATTTGTCTATTACGATTAATTACGCAACGAAACAAAACGAGATATTTCAATTGTAGAATTAGTTAAAAAAATAAAGCATTATCGTTTCTCGTTTCTCTCTCTCTCTCTCTCTCTCTCTCTCTCTTTGTTTACTATTTGACCCATGGAGTTTTGTCTTCTTTTTATATATTTTATAATTATCCTTCCATCGGGCTGAATTATTGAGTATATCTTACCGAGTGACCTTCAAATTTCTCTTCTGTTTGTTTTTGTATTTCATGTGTGCTTCACATTAATGATTCGACAAGTTTTGTTCAATCTTTCTCTTTTTTGCACAAAACATGTTTTATTCATTAGCACACCAGAAAAGGATTTTTATTGATATCATCAACAAATTCAAGTCAATCAGTTTTGTTGTTTAATTGAAAGTCTCCATTTGTAATTCAACCAGTATTTGCAAAAATTGTAACGTTCATAAAGATTTAATATGAACGAATAATGATTTTATGCTTCGAGCATAGGCGAACACTTCTTTTTATAGCTATATAAATATTGATACCCCAGAGTATTCGGCAACGCCATTTAACACTATTCTTTTTTACACCTTGGTTACATATTAAAAATCCACATCATGTAATACTCTCTGAATTTATTCAGCAGTTCTAAATTGATGTTGTTGTCTTAGAATAACTTTTTAGTTTAAATGTCAGATAATTATCTCGTAATATATCAGTATTAGAAGCCCTTCATAGTAACTATAATCCTCCTTGATCTTGTTTGTACAATTAATCAAGATAGAAGCCGAAAATAATACAAACAAAACATCTGTCTTCATTGTCGCCGAAGAACAACTTTGGAGTACACCATTACATCTATGCTCAAGATAAATCATGTGACCATCTGTATGAAAGAATTTGCCATTTCTTTTATTGATTTATCTTATCATAGTAATCAACGTTTTCAAAATAGATATATGTTCTATGCGTCGAGATATTTCCTATTCGAATAGTTTTTCTTTCATGCGAAACAACTTTATTACCATATTATCAATATGTGTTCTAGAACTACCGTAAAATTTAATCAAAATCAAATAATATGAAAAATAAACTTTGTTTTGACCATTGCTTTTCTTTTATCCATTTTAAATTGATCAAATTACAATTCTTTCTGTAAGATTTATCATATGTAACAGTGCTTATTTATGTTTTTTCTTATTCTCGTTTTGATGAGCGATGTTGCCTAATGCTTTCATCAGAATAAATTTAACCACTGATTTTGCGAAAGAAACTACTATTGACATCTCAGTTGAGTAAATAGAAATCAATATTATAAATAGTTTTTTCTGGTTGAATTTAAAAATAAATGACTCTAATACAGTAATTTCTATGCTATTTTTTCTTAAATAAAACAGATCATTTTCGAGTCAAGTAATAATAAAGAGAAAGTCGATTCAATTTTTATTATAGAATGTGACACTACTGATAGGACAGTCATTCAGCAAGTTAATTTTGATTAATAAAAAACAATGCTTATCGTTCTTCTCAACATATATGTTTAGTTTTAACACAAAAATTTCCAAAAAAGTCACTTCACTTGCAACACAGAATTTTTTTCAACATGGTACTGTTAGTATCGGAACCAGTAGAGTTCTAATAGCCCTTTGTATTTGTTAGGGTAAGGCCGATCATCCCCTAGTTGAAAAAAAAAACTGTCTCCAACTGTAATGATATCGTAGAAAACATTTCAACTACCGATTTGTCATCAACGAATAAGATAACAAATCTTTGACGTGAAAGTCTTCGCTTCAATGGAAATTCATAATTATCACATAAATTAAATGTTATTCAATTAATTATTATGTTAATGCACTGAGGACCTTACTTTTACTGGTACGCTTTCAGTTCATTGTAACAGCTCTATTTTTCATGTTGGGATGAGAGTATCATATAGAAGGATTTCTTAACCAATGTTTTGGGGGTTTCCTGTTTGACAGCTATTTCCCTAACTCAACTACCTATATTCTATTCTATCGGAAGAACATTACGAACTTTATATGTCATAGTTAGCATAAGGTTCGAATGTACTCATTGTTGACAGTGTTGTTTTCAGAAGAAAATAATTTACTACTCGAGTTTGGAACGTAAAGAAAACCAATATGTCAATACCCAATTCTGTCATTCAGTTTGTATCATTTGGATCTGTGAAATATAGCATGTCTGTTACTTTTATTATCCGAGATATTGTGTTTTCTGTTTTGCCTTAAAAAATATTGGTCAAAGATATGGACTTCTGAGTAGGGGCGTAGCCAGGGGGCTCAGCCCCCCCCCCCCTACAGAGGTCTTAACTCCCCTAGAAAAAATAAAATCCTGTGAAAAAAATAAGTTTAGCTTCCTGTAACGCCTTGGTGAGGATCAGAGACGCTACTAATAATAATGCCAGGTGCCACAGTATTGATTATAGCAGAATGGCAACAACGAAAATAGAATAGTATTGAATATTGGATGAAGATCCAATTGTTTATTCAATGAACAGAAATAGTTGAGAATAATAATAAGAACTCCACAAGCAAATAGCTGACACGAGTTCGAACGACTGTAAAGAACAATCAAGTTGTAAAGAAAAAGGTAGTATGTAATTGATCAAGAAGAAAAGTAGTAGTCAGAGAAGAAAAAGAAGAATTAGTGTATCTCAGTGAAGAAAGATATATCAAGAAGCTTCTAGGAAACTTGAGGAGTAAAAAAAGAGAGTAATTATATCTCATTTCTCTGAGTCTAAGCGCGAAAAACAAAAAAAAAGGTGCCAATGTTGAAAATAACAAGTGCGACAATAAGCAATAAGAGAGAACAACATGAAACAAACCACATATCTCTCA